GCCGCTTTCGAAGAGTCCTAGGATTTTGGGTACGGAACTCTGGGCAGGCCACCAAGTTTATATGGCGACAATGTCTAAATTGACTTTGTTTATAGAGGCAACATTTGCACATGCCTCCATGCTTTTCTACGAGATCATGCCCCCCATGCCTCCACTCAGAGACATGGGTTTGTTGCTTTTGTTCCTTCATTGGTCTCCAACAGAGGTCTTTAGATTTCTTCCTCCTTCTTCGACTTGGCAGATGTGAAGGCATGGTGTTTCTTATACCGTCTCCCATGTTATCCTTGTGGCTGCAAGGAAAATCTGGGAATTTTTTGTGAAAGCCATTTTGGAAAGAATCATTATTTTTTGAATATGGCCTATGGCATGTTGGCCAACATGGTGGCCTACATGCCTCCCGAGTGGCCTCTGGCAATGAGTCTGCAAGTTGCTGAGGTGGACTAGGCTTGCACACATGCTTTTGTTGTGGTGGCATTAGTTGGACGTTTGAATTGGCATAAGGTTGCAATGGCACAAACCTTGTTACCTCTTTTTCTAAAGCTTTGTGAACTTCATTGGCAATAAGGTCTTGCAACCTTTGTTGTTCAATTTGACTAGGTTGCCCCCCGAGATTGGAAATGACTCCCCTTTTTAGACTAATGACTTTAAAAGGATATTTCACCTTCAGCCATTGTCCATAATTGAACTTGGAAGGGCTTCGACCATTAAGAAAGCATGGTTGCCGCGAACACTTCTTAAGCAAGGCAGAAGAAACATGCTCGTTAATCTCAAAAGAAGTAGAAGTAGATGAGGTAGATACCTTATCAGATTTATGTACTAATGCTGGCCAAAGTGTTGGCTTTTGTGTAGCAGCATCAGCTTTTTGTCGACCATCATATGGACCTTGATTGATCGATGGCTGACATGTCTGCACCGGAGTTGGTTTATGCCTCCCAGGAGTAAGAGGACTATTGCTAGTATTAATCTTTACAGACTTAGAAGGACTTGGAGGCATACTTGTTGAAGTCGCCTCCAAAGTTGCATGGCGTTGCTGACTTTGGGTAGCACGCTACAATTGTGATTCATGTCTCCCGAGTATGATCATGGGGTTATTCTCTGGCATTAGTGTCGTCTGACCTTCATTTACAATTGGCATCTTTGTCACGTTTTGCGATTTGCAAACTGCTTCAAAGTTCTTGGAGACATGGCTGCATGGCACTTCTTTGAATCCTCCATTAAAACCTCACTTTTGAGTTGAGAGGTTTTAAGTTCTAGAAGATTTAATTTGCATACTTTCAAAATTTCCTCCAACCTCTTCATGTGTTCCTTATGAAGCCTTTTAGATTCCTCAGCAAAATTAGCTATCCTTTCAGTAAGTGATTTGAAAGACTCACTGTAAGCTGTTGCCTTCTCATCATAAAGTGGATTGACATAAGAGGAAGCTTGTGGCGGAGTGATGAAGAGCTTCTGGCAATCATCAAAATAAGGACTTGCCATGGTGGCATAATCTAGTAATAGAGAATATGATCAACAAACTTGTGAAAGCCCATAGTGGGTCCCACCGGGCATGCCAAAAAGAGATTGTTGTTCCCAAAATCTCC